TGGAAGAGACGATCAACAATTGACATTGCCTTGCTTGACTCACCAGACATGATATGGTTGGATACCATTATGAACAAGGGAGAAATCGAATACGTACGTCTGCTGTGCAAGAACACGAGCAGCAAGGCCGTTCTGGATCACGCCTTCGGGCTCGCTTTAGCTAAGAATTGGACTCCCGCAATGACACTCCTCCTTCGGTTCGGCAGTGAGGCTACCACCTTCCAAGAGAGCATCCGCGAGCATATCGGAGAGAATGGCACAACCTTGGCCCGACTCTTGCTGTCGGTCCCCAAATCGATGACCACTGCAGCTTGGCTTGAGTGCCTTACGCCGCAACCTGGCAGGCCCCCGATCACTCCTGGCATCCTGCTAATGTGCCTCTCCACTCGCCCTGAGTTGGCCTGTGAAGCTTTGTTTCTACAGGCTTTACAGAATCATAGTCTTGAAGCAGCGGCCATAGTTCTCGCTTACGCCGGCCCTCGACAGAAGTTCGAAACCGCAGGTACAATGTTTGCTCGCCAATATGTATCCGGCATCAGAGACGACGACACTAAGCTCAAGTTTTTCACAATCCTCTCCCATGCAGGGATAATGGTGGATAGCCTGGCGTATCGGCAGGAGCTGATGAATAGTGTCATGGCCAGAAACATGGCAATGATCAAGGTACTCGTCGACTCGGGAATCAACATTGATTGTCGGCCTGAAAGTGCTCTACAAATGGCCGTTGGGAGACTTGACTTTGACGCAATGGACCTTCTTAAAAACGGGACCATGGACATGCCAAATGCCTCACATACTCTAGACTACTTACTGGCCATCGCCACAGAGCTGGATGTGATCCGTTTCATTCACACTTTTAGTCACAGGGGACTGACTGGAAAACACCTCGACGCTAAGCTCGTTTACGCTGTTCGTGATAACCAGAAAGAACTCATCAGTCTTCTTTTGAGGCAGGGCGTGAGCGTCGAGTTCCGCAACGGCGCCGCTTTGCGGGAGGCTTTGGAAAGGAACCATCTCGACATATTTAACCTTCTAATCGAACAGAACTGTGCCCCGGCAGTCCTTTCGAATGTCCTCCCTACCGCACTCGATGTTGAACCGAGCACCACCAGGCTCCAGGTGGTAGAAACCCTCCTCCGTAAAGGAGTTCCCCTTGAGGTGCTTATCGGCCCCTTGATTATTTTAGTTTCTGGGGACGAGGAACCGGATTTCGAACTGATTCAACTCCTCCTCGACAAGCGAGCCCCTGTTGATCTGTACGATAACCCGGGGCTCAACCCCGTTCTTATCGCGACAAAGCGAGGTCATATCATACTCCTTAAATTGCTGATGGATGCCGGCCCTCGCCAGCAGACATTATCTACGGCAGTGCTGGTAGCATTTGAGGCTGGCGAGACTTGTGGTTACGATACAGCAGATGCCATGATTCGTTTGCTTCTTAATGCTGGCGCTAAGGGTCCCGAAGTCAATACAACCCTAGCTCGAGCGGTTCAAGGTGGCCGCTTGGAATTGGTGCGTCTTTTGCTCGACCATGGAGCCAGCCCAGCTCAGTCCGACGGAATGTCATACCATAACGCCATTCAGACCGGAAACTTTGAACTTCTTGAGACTCTTTGCTCCAGAGCTCCACCGAGAAACCCTACTCTGGTATCCTTAATCGAGACGGCTGTTAATCCGAAGTGGTACGAGCTACGAACGTTGACGCTGTTACTTGGCTGTACCACTGCGGCTTCCGCCGTGATCAATGTCTTGTGGAATACCGTCAAAATGGACGAGAAGCTGAACAGTCATCCAAATCTGTCAGAAATTGTCAAAATCTTCCTGGACAACCACCTGGATATCAACGCTGCCAAGGGATCAGTACTCAGCCTCCTCATACAAGCAAATGACATCGATCTACTAAAGGATCTCCTTACCTTTAGACTCACTAGCACATCATTATGCGCCGCATTCTCTCAGGCATCTTACCTCAAGAACAGGACAGTCAAGTTTGACATCTGGAAGACTTTGCTCAAGCAGGCCAACTCTTCAGATATTGGTCAGTCTGAGGCGTTGATCCAGGAGACTCTGTTCGCCCTCAACAGTGAGGATCTTGATGGCCTCCGACTACTATTGCGCTACAAGGCATCCCCAAACCAGGGTGATGGCACTGCTCTCCAGTCTGCCGTCACGGGTGGTTCCATCGAAATTGTCCAATTACTGCTCTTGGGCCCAGTAGGAACTGCGGTCCTGGGCAAGGCACTCCTCGCCGCGGCCGCCTCTAGTAACCCGCCAGCAACCAGGACATCCATTATGACGATTCTCCTTACTCGAAAAGGAAAGGCAGTGTCGGCAGAGGACCTAAGCAAAGCTCTTACTCGATCTATCTTGAAACATCCCGAGGATTCCGACTTACCGGAGTTACTGCTTTCTCACGGCGCTGAAGTTGACACTGCTGTGGTCGAGGGTATGTTGACCGTGGCTTCCGAAGGCCTCTTCAAGTTCCTTTTTGGTACTGTCCTCAGCCCCGAAGTGGTCTTTGAGAGCTTTGAGTTGGCTCGGAACACCAAGATGGACTCTGATCGAAGATACTGGGTATACGACACAATCCTCCGCCAGGGCGATGTAAGCAGGGAGAAGCTCTCAGAAGCGCTCATCGACTCTATTCGAACAGACCCGAGGAGCCTCGACATCCCAAAGCTGATCCTCTCCCATGGAGCTCAGGTCGGCCACAGACACGGTGCAGCATTCAAGGTGGCATCCCAGTCCGGAAACAGCTCACTCATCAAGCTGTTGAGCCAGTACCTTGTCAGCGGCGTCGATGATTCAACAGCCAACTTGGCCTTCGACCACGTCGTCAAAGATGCCACGATCCGCGGAGAAGCTCGTTTTAACATCTACAGCAGCCTGCTCCAGTGCAACATCAGTCAGGCATCCATGTACAAGGCCCTGGCCCAGGCTTTGAAGCGAAAATGCCCCGAGCCTAATATCGTGTATCTGCTTCTAGACAACGGCGTTGACCCGAACGAGAACGGCGGCGCATGTTTCCAGGCTGCGAGCATTGTTGGGAATCATGCCGTCTTCAGGGCCATGTGCAAGCATGCGGATGCTGGAGTTGTCTTGCCAAAGCTACTTGACACTGTGGTCGACGCAACATCCGCGGTGATGCTCTTCCGCACGTGCCTCGTGGAGTCCAAGGGGACCATTACTCAGGAGGACTTCTTGCTCAAGTGCATGCGCAAGTTCCCGTCCAGCGGCGAGCTTATGGAGCTCGTCCTGCAGCACGGGGCTCCCGTTTCGGGTTTGGTGGAATGCACTGTTGGCTCTGAATGGGGTCCTGAGAATTGTTGCATTTTGATCTGGGCTCTCGTTTCCCAGCCAGGCATTCCGAACGACGTCTTGGCGCGCCTCGTGGAGCAAAGTGATGCTGGGATCACATCGTTCCTCACGCCCGAGAGCAAGATTTCCGCTGCTTTCCTATGCCTACTCGATCCTAAGCGTACCCCAGTATTGGAAGCCTTGATTCGCCGGTCTGCCAGAGAAGCCGGTAACATCCTCGAGAGCACCATCGCCGGATCGACGTTGAAGAAGCTGGCGCCATGTGCGCGGTCCTCCAAGGAAGAGATTATGCCTCCTTTCGATGAAGCTGATGAGATTCCTCTGCGATTGGCCTCTCTCTACCTCGTCAACTTCGAAGCTTACCAGGTTCTCGAAACAGGTCTATCGTCAAATGACGGGACTCTGCACCTCGCCGCCCTTCTGGCTCTGCCTGAATTCGTGGGATGGCTCCTCCAATGGCATGACCCTAACCACGGGTCCGACGACTACGGCGCCATGACCCCCCTCGCGCTGGCCTGCTCGTCCCAGCCCGATCCCTGGTTCGAGGCCGCCACCGGCGACGCATCGTGGAAGTCCCGCCTCACGGAGACGATGAAGCTCCTCGTGCCCAAGACGGACCGTTCCTGGCGGCACAGGGAGCGCCTGGTCCTCCACATCGCGATGGAGAACGGGTACTACACGACCGACGCGCTGCTCAGGGGGATGGAAGATACCCTTGAGGCGCAGGCCCGCGGCAAGACTAAGCATCTGTACACGGACAAGGCCGGGAAGGAGTACCTCCCGGTGGAGTACCTGCAGACGTTCATTGAGGCGGAGGAGGGGGATATGTTCCAGTTGAAGGGCTGCCTGGGGCGTTATGGTTTGGCGTAATCATGTTTACGGGCCGGAGGAAGAGGTCAGAGACATGGCTGGGAGGAGGAGGTCCGGAACACGGTGAGGAGGAGGAAATTCGCAACATGGTTGGGGAGCCTCACAGTGTTCCATGTTTGGTTTTGTTTTGGTTTGGTATTAGCATTGGCGTGTTTGTGTAATGTACATGGTTTAGACTACTTGTTGTTATTATACCCAAAGACAGGATGCGGTCAATATGAGAATGATTAGGTTACAACTCCTCCTCCTTTCTGTGACATGCGTAGTGGGAGTCGAGGTCTTCGCCAGATGGGATAAATTGTAGAGATTACTATTTCTTGTAGGATAAGACTTGGGCCGGAACGGGGCAATCTCCTCAGACTCTGAAAGCCTGATCTCACAGAATCTAAAGTTCTAGTTCTAGTGTGGCTCCATCAATCTGCAGAGTTCGCGGAGTTCTTCTTAGGCGTGCGACCTCGGGAGGCTTCAGCGTCCGCGTCGTCGATGACATCGTGGGCAAGGATCCCGCACACCTGCCGCGTTCACTGGTATCTTGACATGTTCGTCAACCCTCTAAGTCGGCCGTCGAAGGCGACGACAAAGCGAAGATCCACCAGGACTTCTCCTGCCTGCCCTAGTACCACTTCGCCACCAAATTCACCCCGTCCTGGGTGACGAGCCCCGCGATCACCTTCAAGACTGTCCCAACCCCCAACAACAACCCCGAGATCAAAGGGGAGGATCATTCGTTCGCGCTGAGCCAGAATGAAGATGCAGGCTACGCCAGCGGCACCGGTATATTCTGGTGCGATGGTTGTAGTACCTTCCAACAACTAAGAACGGTGGGCGGGTTCGGCGGTCTCTGGAGGCTGGCTGCAAAGCTGCTCCGACGGACGGATGTTGTCTTGTTTCTCTGGAGTCAGGGGGGAGCGTTAGTGTCACTTCCAAGTAGTTTGCCGTCCATGGGCTGGTCAGATTGCTTCTTGTAACGTACCGGAGGCAAGGTCTACGTAGGCGTTCAGACTGCTGACAACAACCTTCTGGTCCTTCTCCTTTTCGATCATAAATAGGATCTGAAGAGGTCGTCCATCATGGTCGTCAGTGTTGACATGCCCGCGAACCATGTTGATCGTAGGCTGGGCAAACCAAGAGTTATTGCTGTTGGTGTTGGTGTTGATGTTGCTGTTTTCGCCGTTGTTGCCGTTGCCATTGCCGTTGCCATTGCCGTTGCCGTTGCGGTTTGGGGTTGCCGTCGCCTTGACGCTATATCGGTTCTCGCCCTAAACGGTCGGATCGTTATCCACCTCCTCCTCCACCCACCCGTCACGCTCCTGCTGGTCATCGATGACCATAGTATTTAGATACCTCTTGCGTGGCTGATCGGTTATATCCCGACCATCCTCGTTCCTTGTTGATATATATCGTCCTCTCGCCTGTTCGTCTGCGGCCTAAGTGTTCATCCGATCTCTTTTTCAGGCATAGACAAAGCAAATATCGACAATTGCGCCAGGAGATTCGTCAAGAACCCTGAAACCATGTGTAAGACTTGGAGGGAGGGGTTTTGTGATGGGAGGTGCAGCAGAAACGACCGCTGCAGGATGCGTTTGAGAAATCGTATGGTTTAACTTCATTATTGATGCACCTCGTCATGTGAGTTGTCGCTGACAGTCAATATATGAAGTAAACAGGTAGGCAGGGTAAGTGAACATAATCCCTCTAAGGTGAGAATTAAAAGAGGGAAATGGAAGAGGTAAGCGGCACAAAAGGGTGCAGGCATTTAAGTCAAAGCCCGACTCGTTGATGTGTGGTTAAGAAAGAAAGGTGAATCGCTCCTACCTTCCTTTGAAATTTGGGGGTTGCCGTGCGTCAACGACTGGTCACGGGCGTTGACGAAGGCCTGGCTTCCTTCTCACACCAGCCAGTCGCGCCTTCCTCAGCTTTCATCACTTCAGCAACTTACATGGCATCAACTATTCTTCGAAACTTCGATTCCAGCAAGCCAGCAGCGCAAACTCCCATCATGCTAGAACTTTGCCTTTGGCTATTTTCCCTTCTCGTTCTTCCTCGCTTCGGGCTTCGAAACTTCGAAGTTCGCATAAACGTCGCTCTTCGAGAACTACTCCTAACTATCACATGGGGAAGGCTCGCCATACATGTTTCTCTTCTCCGGCTGGTCGTCAAGTTCACCATCAGGGATACCATCATCATCAAGCTATCGATGAATAAAGCAAGCCTCAAGAGCCCACTGGCCGACGTCTTCGTGAGACCCACGGCACATGGCGCAAATGGCGTCGTGGTCAACGTCCCGAACTTTCTCCTCTACAACTTCAAACTCGCTCCGCCGATGAAGACGCCGTGCGAAGGACCTCTTCCCCCTACTCCTGTTCTCGCGATGTCTACCCTGTATGCCATTCTCCGCCTTATGGCACTAAGAATCAACCTCGACGTCGGAGCAAGTACGATGGACGGCATTACTGGGGTCATACGTGCCCACGTGGACATCAGGGGTGGTTTTGTTGTCTACGGGGTGGACGTTGGCCTTGCACTGAGCATCAACCTCAGACCTAGGGACGATCCGGGGAGATATCCCCTCCCTAAGTTGGCCGGGGCTTGAATTCTCCAGGCCGGATCATGGGACGGGTGGTGTATAAGGATCTCAGGAGTGGTCCTCGGATGGTGCGCTATAATGGGAAGTCTGTCTCCTGGGGGGGCCAACCTGTTTTGCAAACTTCGTCGGGGTGAGGCACGCTGGCATCGGCGGTATATTAAGATATAAAGAGCGAGCCTCGATACTACGCTATAATAAAATGGTCTGTTTCCCAACCCGTCGGGCACCGTGAATGTACCACCACCCTGAATGGCGCTCCCTTTTCATCCTCGCCGGTATTGCCGTTGAAAAAGGAGTACGGCTCTTCTATGGAACTGAGGTCGTCGCAGGTGGGGTCGTTCTCGTCCTCGATCCTAGCCGCGACTATCCCCCAGCAGCCCGACGTCAGCGTCCGCCGCCGGCTCTCGTCTTCTAGGAACGAGACAAGCCTCCTGGCCTGCCGGACGTTCCACAGCCCTTCGCGGCAGCTCTGGTCCTCGTACGCGCGGAGCCAGGAGTTGATCCAGTGGCGGATCCGGAGATCCGAGCTCCACCGGTACGACCCGACCAGGGCGGGCATGATGCCGTGGCCGAAGGCGTTGTGCTTGGCGCAGCCCCTCGGGGAGAGGCCGGCCGCTATCCGGCAGATGAAGAACACGGTCGAGTCCGTGTTGGGGGGCGTGCTCTTGCCCCCGTTGGGCGTGTAGCGGGTGTTGGCGCGCATGCGGGAGCAGAGGAAGTGGGCGTAGTTGACGGCGGACGTGATGGGGTTCGTTGCGTTGGGGAACGACAGCGGCCTGACTTCGAGGGGTGGGATGGTAGATCCCGGGTCCGGCTGGAACTTGACGGACTCGGCGATGCCGGTGTCGACCGGCAGCTCGGAGACGGGCAGCCGCTTCTGCCAGTCCATGAGCTTCTGGTCGATGAGCTGCATCTTCCTGGCCCATTTCTCCTGCAGTTCTGGTCGGTGGCGGAACTTCAGCTCCGTCTTGGTCACGTCTCTTATCAGCAGTAAGAGGCGGTCCCTCGATGAGTCGGAACCTTCCATCATGGATTCTAGGTGGGTGGCCACGCCGGGGTTCATGTCCTGGACTTTGGTCAGGGACAGGTCGCTGTTCTGCAGCTCTACGAGGAGCGCCATCCTGGCGAAGGTGCTGGCCAACAGACGCCCTCGCCGATCGTGGAGGATGCTCTGGTGCCACTTGCTGAATATCCTCCCCGAAGTGCGCAGGTGACGTCTCCAAGAGCTGAGATTACCACGGTACAGGTCGAAGTTGGCCAACAGCAGGTGGGTCAGGATCCAACTCAAGAGGCCGGAGGTGCAGTTGGAGACCTGCATGGAGGACAGAGAGTCCGGAGGGAAGGCCTTGCGGAGATTCTGCATGGCGCTTATGTAGTGGTGAGACGCATGGCTCATGCACTCGGCGGTGGTCGAGCTGAATTTGCTGGCGGTTATTGCTGAGACGGCGAGCGCGGCGCTCCAGCAGTGTGAGGTCATGACTGTTTCGTCCATTAAGACGTCGGCGATTGGCAGAATCGGCTCCAGGCCTTCGACTTGGTTGCTCTGGAGTCGCATGATGTACTTTTCGTCCTGGGGAAAGGACATGAACCGGTAGCCCAGGGCGCTGTGCATGGAAAGGGGCTGGGCGATTGTCGGGATCTGCCCCAGGTTGATCGAGGACGGGTGTAATTGGATGCTCAGCTCGGACAGCGAGTTGGCATCGAGAGGCAACGACGACGAGGCGCAGGGATAGACGGCGTCTTGGTCGACGGGAGACCAAGAAGCCAGATCCCAATCCTGGAACATCCACTCCTCGCCGTCGAAGATGCCCGGCTCGTCGCTGTTTGGCGATATCGTCTCAATCGTCTGATCCTGGAGGGCGCACACATCTTCTATCATCTCCGGTATGGTAGCGATGGCGTCTTTCGGACTGGCCCGAGTTTCCACCAGCGTCGTCTTCGTCGGTCGCACGCGGGGGTTGGCCGAGGGCATGCCTTGGGCTTTCTGGGTGACGCTCAGGGTCTCGTCGCAAAAGGATATCCTCTTTGCGTAGCCCTCGCACACGCGGTTCATCTTGGAGCACTGGATCGCAATCAATCAGACTCGTCCTTCCTCGTCAGTTGGCGCTGTGGCAGACCTACGTTGTTGCACTTGGGGTGCGTCTTGTCGCACCGCAGATGGCGCTTGCGGCAGGTAACGCACCCATTCCGATCTCGGGAGGTGACATTTCGCTTTCGCGGCACTCCGCCGTATCTCTTCTGAGACTGGGACGGGGTTGGACTGGTCGAGGCTGCGGTGTTGGGCATCTGGGCGGTCGTGGTTGGGGGGAGACGGCTCAACTGAGGGGGGAAGACAACGACGGCCGGACTGCTGGAGGGTAAAACTACCTATAGAGAGGGAATGGAACGGGGCAGCGGGTGAATTGCTTATCTTCCGGTGGCACGACGTCTTATCTCCAGCATCGGATGCTACATCCTAGCTGCATTAATAACGGAGGTCTGGGTTGGGACCAGGATAAGTCGGGGGAGATAACAAGGACAACCCTAGTGTGTCTCCTGGCAGTTTCATTGGTATCTGAAATATCTCTATTTTCGCCGGTTTCACTCATCGTTTATCTCTATATGCCGGGCCTCTCCCAAGCCCACCCCGTCTGCCTACATCTCCACTTCAACTTTGCTATATACATATACACCGTCCAGCTATTATTCCGTCTGGACGGACGCATTTAACCGGCTGGTGTCACGCGCTGGCTGAGTGCCACAGTTTCCAGAGCTTACCACCCTCTACTAAAATGAGATGCTGGGGATCACCCTGCTCGACGATCTTACCCTGCTCCATGACACAAACCCAATCAAATTCCACTACGGGGGCGAGCCGGTGCGCAATCGCGATCAACGTCTTGCCGGAGAAGCGCTCCTTGAGAAGCCTGTGGATTCTCTTCTCGCTCTCGGAATCGACGCTGGCCGTGGCCTCGTCGATCAACACGATGCTGGCGTCCGTCACCAACGCCCGGGCCAGGGAGATGAGCTGCCGCTCCCCGTGAGACAGATTGGAGCCATCTGCTGAGATCTGCGTGTCCAGCGTCCACTTGGCTCTGTTCTCCGCGTCGCCCATGACGTCCGAAAGGACCTCTTGGAGCCTTTCGTCTGACACCCTCCCGCCAAGGTCAAGATTGAATCGCAGGGAGCCCGTGAAGAGAGTCGGGTTCTGCGGGATAAAGCAAATGCGCTGCCGCAATTCACTCACCTCGATCGTCTCTATATCGCAGCCGCCGATGAGCACCCTCCCGTGAAACGTCTCCGTGAGTCTCAGCAACGCCGCCGCAAGGGAACTCTTCCCGCTTCCTGATCTTCCCACGATTGCGACGCGCTGGCCGGGTCTGGCTTCCAGGTTGACCTCCGACAGCACTGCATCGCCGTCTAAAGTGTAGCCAGAACTAAAGTTCTCGAATTTGACGTGGCCGCTCTGAAGTGACAGGTCAACGCCGAGCGGTGTCTCGTCGCCAGGTGTTGACTCTCGCTCTTGCGGTATCGCATGGATATACTCCTCAATCCGCTGGAAGCAATTCATCTCGACCTGGAGAAGGCTGGAAAGGTAGACGATATCTTCATTCCGAATTAGCATGGTTGACTTGGTGGCGATGATGATACGGAGACTTACATAGGAGGGCGGTGCACAACGTCGTCGCACTCGTCATGCTAAACCCAATAGCCGCCGGGCTAGTACGGGACGTGATGGCGAGGACCGCCGTCAGCAATGAGATGGAGCCGGCACAAAAGTCCATCCTCACGGCGAGCCATCTTTGCGTGGCGCTTATGGCCTCCCAGCCACGCAAGTAGTGCTCGAGAGAGTAGTAGAATCGGTTCCTCCACGCTGCTTCCTCCTGATGTGCCCTGATGACTTCAATCCCGGAAATCACATCGTTGATGCTGGTGATGATGGGGGATAGACTTGCTGCGTATATCCTCTTGGCAGCCGTCGATCCGTATAGATATACCTGGCCAATATACAAGCTGATGCCGAGCAAGAGAATCGCAGGGATTAGGAAGGTGGGGAGAATGGTTGAGACAGCAGCCAAGCGGAACCCTATCGAAAGGAAATTTTCGACCACTTGTTTCAGGAGCTCGGTGATGGTGTTATCCAGAGAAAACATATCCGAAGAAAACCGATTCAGGATTATCCCCACTGGCGTAGCCGTCGCCCACGCAAGAGTGGTTCGGAATACCGAGGACAGCATCCGAGAGTGCTCAGTCCTGCTCGCTCTCAGAGCCCCATAGAAGAACATCAACGAGGATACGCAGACAAGGGACAGCTGGATAATCCCAACGCCAGTGTAGATACCAAGATAGAAACTCGATGCTTGTTTCTGCTGCTGACTGCTCTGCTGCCCTGAGCTTTTGGACCAAAGGGTCAGCCAGAATGAGAGAAGCACATCAGTTGCTTGGGCGAGCAACACTGTCCCGCAGAAGCAACACAGGAAATATTTTGAACCAAAGAGCCGCATGTACTTGACAATATAGTTCTTCCCAATGAGGCCGCTGATGAGCTTTTCGGACTTTTCAGAAGACTCCTCAGGCTCGCTCTTCAGCACCTCAGTGTCGGGAATCAGGTCTACTCCGTTAACGGCACCCCTGTCTGAGATTCCAGCAACTGATGCGCCCATACGGCCCACTCTAGATTCTATCGTGGGGAGCTCTCTGTTTCGTAAAATCGTCAAAGCCCCTTCGTTGCTGAGCTCGAGCAGTAGATCGGCCTGTTCTTGGCACGCCGCGTCTTCAGTTACCAGGATGATAGTACGCCCCTTCATCAGCGGACCCAAAATGCATGTATCGACCACCGCCCGACTGGTTTTAGCGTCTAGAGCGGCGAGAACATCGTCTAATACAACGGTTTGCGTGTTCGCATACACGGCCCTGGCCAGTGCAACTCGAGCTCTTTGGCCTCCAGAAAGCGACTGTCCTCGTTCGCCGACATCTGTAGCATCCCCGGCAGGGAAATCTTGAAGATCAATCCTGAGCCCCGTCGCCTGTAATACTTCGTTGTATCTCCTCTCTATGAATGGGGAATTAAAGAGGATATTCTCCCTAACCGTGCCGTGGTGAAGCCAGGGTGTTTGTCCGGCGTACGATATCGGATCACGATCCTTTGAACGAACAATGAATTGACCACTTGATACATGGGCTTCTCGAATCAAAGCCTTCAATAATGTGGATTTTCCAGATCTGAAAAGATTAGTGTTGGCCAAAAAGGGGGGACTACTATACCGCACGTACCCTGTTTTGCCTGTTATGACATTCAATCCACCTACGACGAGATCAAAATTGACTTTTTTCAGGACTGTCCTCCAGGTTCCTGACTGACAAAGAGTCTGCACAGTGCCATCTCGAGCACCAAGAATGTGAGGGGTAGTATCGATGTCCTGGTATCGTACTTGATCGGATTCATTCCAGAAATCGCCCTGTGAAGACTCCTCGTCCAAGAAGTCAAGCACCCTCCTCAAAGACACCATTGCTTGGGCATTTGTGCTGACACCAATGACGGCCAACGACATCATATTCTTTAACGTATTAAAAATGGACACAGTGGTAAAGACGACGGCAGGGGTCAATGGCCGTCCCGCGGCCATGGTGTAGAACCCGAGAGATAGGACAAGAGGTACCAGGACGAAACTTGAAGAGAGAGTATCTGACGTTACCACGATCTTCATTTTATTCCAAATGGCCGCCAGCTCCGCCTCTCGCTTCTCGTCAACCCATCCCTCAAACACCAGGCTCTGTCCGAGCATCTGCACTGTTTGGAGGCCCTTTATCACCTCGCTTACCCGGCGGACTCTCGCGTCGATGGCGTTCATGACCACCGATTGTGCCCTGCCCTGGAAGCGGTTGATATACCAGGAAATTGGGATGCGAGCAACCACCATGACGACCAACCCTGGGACGTACGACCATCCAATTGTCTGGTAGAGCAGCATACTTGCAACGGCCACCTCGACCGGCACCATGAACCCAGCCATGATGGTATATCGGAGGACGGCGATCTTGTCCAGGTCAGCCGCGACATGGTTGGTCACCTTTCCGGAATCCGGGCGGACCCCAGGCTTCTGCTTTAGTAACTTCTCAAAAATAGTGCTGGCAACCATGGACTTGAAGTGGCAGATGGTCTCCGTCGAGAAGGATTCAAAGGTCTGCATGCAGAGACCCCGGATGACGGGCGAGGCTCCGAACAGCAGGGCCGAGAACCACGGCGTGAATGACCCCTCCGGCGAAGATCCTTGCAGGTGGTTGAGGAGGCTGCGAAGTCCGATGGCTCCGAGGAACTCGGCCAGCCCGCAGAAGATCATGCATGTGCCCATGATTGCCACTCTTGGGCGGAAGAGCACCCACATGGCATCTCCTGTAGAGCCGAGCCTTTGCCTGGTTTGGCAGAACCGTAGCCACCAAGACCGTGGGCTGCTTCTCTTTGTTAAGATGGGTATGTCAACCCAGGTCACCTCGCCTTGCATCCGGTAGGCTGTGGCCACGAAGGGGTTGATCCATCCGTACGTCCACCATCGAACAATCGGTGAACAAACGGCCGATGGATGAAGAGATGATGGCTCCTCATTGACATCGTTGTGGAATGGGGTCAGTAACGGGACGATGATTGATGCCGCGGTTGCAGCCACCAAGCTGATCATCCGAATGGGATCTAGGCTTGCATCAGGGTGTACGGTGATCAAAGGCGTTATTTCCATGGGCACTATGATAAGGGAATATGCCCCAAGGGCGAAGAAATTCCCCAAGGCGTGGAACCTGCATCGCTTTCGATTCGATATAAAGTACCCGATTCGGCAGATCAGACAATACACCTGGCAACGGTTGGTTAGAGATAGCAGATGGCACTCGCCTCTTTTGGTAACATACCCAGACAGACTCCAATACAACGATTCGAAAATCACGACATTGAGATAAACGCAAGCCGTCCAAAACGAGGCATACTATCAGGAAGGAAATACTCGCAGTATTGGCCAGAATATGCGCCCGCGACAGGCCGTACGTCGTTTGTCGCCGAGGTCGGTGCCAGACAATGTAAGTGGTGAGCGATAGAGCTACAGCAGCGCCAATGAGGATCCAAACTAGGGTCCATTGCTCGATGTGACATCCAGTGCCCTTATCTCTCGATATGGCCTGGCCGAATTCCATGTCTGCTGCCGCGCCGTGGCCGTCGAACGTAGGCAAATGTTGAGCTGGAGGAGAAGCCTACCGGCGATTACGTCGGCATCACAGCAGCGCCATGTACATGTATATGGATGTATTGATGTTTTTACCAAAACTCTATGGATACTAGTTATAGGCCGTGCTTCCACTCAATCTCCTCGCCTGGGGCCCTCTCCCCGAAGTCCAAGAAACCGGGCATGGGCCGGCTGCACACTGGAGAGCGCGATATCGTGACCTGACCCATCGCCATTTGATCCAATCTGCCTCGTTTTGGCTGAGCTGGGCCTCGCTTCCCGAAGAGGCAACACGCATCGCAGCTGGTCCCACTCGTATAAACATGCCGCTTTGGGACGCGGAACAACAAACCAGCGTCGTAGATAAGAGATTCCGTTCAATCCGCGGCTTGCGTGTCTGCCGTTTCAGACTGGACTGTGCTCCTGCTGCAATATAGCTGGCAGTGATTCATTGTGCTGTGTTTGTGAACTTCGTTGCCCGCAAACGCCCAGCCCCGGTCAAGATCAAATGGCTACCCTACACCGAGCTGTGACCTTGGCGGCCGTGCTTCTGGCTGGAATAGCCTCGGCCGCTTCTATTGGTAGTCAGCAAGTCCTTCTTGGGCCAAAGAGAGTCGAGTACATGCGTGTCAGTGACCCTGCGTATCCCGACCATTCTATCCGCATCCAGCATCAGCATGATGATCTCTGCGATGCTGGATCGAAGCAGTTTACTGGCTGGTTGGATACCAACGGCAAACACTTCTTCTTCTGTAGGCAAGAACTCAGATCCTAAATTACTTCCAAATTTTAACTGGTCTTATAGGGTTCTTTGAAAGTCTCAATGACCCCAAGCAGGATCCCTTGAACTTGTGGATGACAGGCGGGCCTGGCTGCAGTGGTCTCATCGGTGAGCACCAACGAATACACTAAAAATTTGACATTGAAGCCACTGACAATTGGATATCAGGTATGATGCTGGAGCTTGGGCCTTGCCTCATCACGGACACTGCAAACTCCACGACTCGCAACCCGTACTCTTGGACGAGGAATTCCTCCATGATATTCATCGACCAGCCTGCAGGTACTGGATTCTCCTACGTCGACGAAGGCATCGAACTGCCAACAGATTCTTTCGTGGCGGCAGCGGATATGCAAATCTTCCTGCGCATCTTCTACTCAGCATTCCCTCACCTGCGCTCCGTGCCGTTCCACATCTCTGGCGAGAGCTACGGCGGGCACTACATCCCCACTCTCGCGGCCGAGATCGTGAGGCACAACACCCTCCCGGGACTCCAGTCTGATTTCAAGATCCCACTGACATCCGTCATGATCGGAGACGGCTTCGTGTCGCCCCTCGACACCACCTACGGCTACTACGACACCCTCTGCACAACCAAGCCCGGCGTCCCCGAGCCCGTATTCAACTCCACCCGCTGCGACCAGATCTCCGAGGCGCTCCCGCGCTGCGTCTACCTCCACGAGGCGTGCTACGAGTACCCGGACCCCATACTCTGCCACGCCGCCGACTCCTTCTGCAGCAGCCGGATCAGGGCCCTGTTCGACGACGAGACGGGCGAGGGGGGCCGCGACCCCTTCGACGTCACGCGGACCTGCGAGGTGGAGCAGCTGTGCTACACGGCCGTCTTGGACATCGAGAGGTACATGAACACGGAAGCGGTGCGCCAGACGCTCAGTATTCCAAAGGAGATTGGGAACTTCACGATTCTGAACAATGACATCCACGAGGGCTTTTGGGAGGGAAACGACTTGTTCGTGAGCACGGTGAGGGAGGTCAAGTACGTACTCGAGGCCGGCGTCGACGTGCTGGTGTACAATGGGAACCTGGACCTGGCCTGCAACACCGCGGGGAACCTGCGGTGGGCCGAGAGGCTGTCCTGGACGGGCCAGGCCGAGTTCGCCTCGAAGGACATGCGGCCGTGGTCTGCCACGAAGGAGGGCGAGAGTGTCGTTGCCGGCAGCATGAAGGAGGTTCGTGCCCTGGCCACGGAGGGTGCGAAGAAGAAGTCGAGGTTTGCGTTTGTGAGTGTTGATAGGGCGGGACACATGGTGCCCTTGGACCAGCCGGAGATAGCCCTGTATCTCATACAGACATGGATGTCGGATGGGGAGTTTTAGAAGAGAAGAGTTGAATGAAGATCAAGTAGGAAGTTCTCACGGCCAATTGAAATGTTTTATTACTGAATCTGGTATGTTGTGATGGTAGGTCAAGATGCTGATTTTCTGGGTTAGCTTGATCCACCCCTTTTTTTAAGGGGTAACATGTCACCTAACATTAAGGAGTCTGGAGGGGAACAAACCGTCCTCTTTTTACCACCGTAAGAAACCTAATTTTAATTAGTGAGAATAGACAAAGAGAAAGTGCGGCTCCTCACAAATTAAATACTTATTTATTTTCAAGCAGTAAGGCCGAGAATATGCAATAATTTGGGTACGATTTCTATGCAAACCACTAGAATATCCTTTCGATACAATGAAATATTTGAGCCAGTGGTTTATACAATAACTTTCAATCGTCAGAAGACTCATCCCAGGGCCGACTACCAGCAAGTGATGAACACATATTCCTCCCATATTCAAGCACGCGTCCCGTAACCAACAACAGTCAACCTTAGAACCATTTAGCCGGGCCAAATGTCTCTCCTTCAGGCACTGCATCCAAAGGAGTCCCCATCCCATCAGCCGTCATATAAGCGATGTTGTTTCCCCACCAATCCAACGTCACGCCCGGGTAGGTGAGGCAGAAGAACACCAGGAAGGTGGTGATGGCCAGCCCCGAATCCAGGGCGGCCGAGAGCAAGTAGTTGTACTTGGACCACCAGGCGCGGTAGCGCTTCTTGATCCACATGTTGAAAGCGAGGCCGACGATGCCCCACGAGATGGAGTTGGCGGCGGTGGCTGGCGGGATCGAGGCGGTCGAGGAGAAGATGACCGGCGTGTGGATCTGAGAAAACAGGTTAGTAAGGTAAACTGGCTCAACTCGACAAGGTTGCTCGGGACTTACATTGGCCAGGACTTTGTTTTCGGGAAACTTCTTGCCGGCGATGTATACTATGACAGGAAGGATGGCTCCAATCAAGAAGAACCACAACATGCTGGTGTACATGGAACCAGAGACAAACAGCTTCGTGGGTCCAATTAAGCCCCAGAACACGGCGTTGGCCGCATATCCATTAGCAAGGGGACAGAAGAACTATTTTTAGAGTCAGTAAAGGACAAAATATTTGACGTAACGATTTGCGATGTGGGCACCTACGTTGTTCACTGCCTTCTTGGTGCAGATACCCTCAACATTTGCCATGGCCCACATGTTCACGCCGCTCTGAACCAGCCACGAGAGGACGATGCTCAGACACTGAGCCGTGAAGGTGACCCGAGGGGGAATCTTCATGTAGTGGCCCGTCTTCATCGACTGGACGTACCCAAGACCCTGGAACGTGCAGACGAGCGTAAAGGCTTTAAAGACGACGTTGTTGACCATCTGGCCCGGCCAGATGAGACCGCTGATGAGGGCCGACAGGACACCGGTGTTGATGGTCATGTTGCACGTGGCCTTCATTATGCCGATGGGGACGAGCAGCACGATGTTGATGAGGACGCTGAGGATGAGGCCCCACCACGGCAGGCCGGTCTTGTACACGTATAGGAACGCCATGCTGATACCCAAGAGGATGGCGAAGACGATTCCATACCACCACTCCGGAACGGGCTTGTATGCTCGCATGAGCTTGCCGTGGATGTCTTCCGTCTCGTCGCGGCTGCCCTTGAAAGCTGTCTTGAGGGTGCTCCATAGCATCTTTGAGTGGTAGAGATATGTGTGCACAAGGATAGACGTGATGGAGGCGAATCCCAGACCATAAGATAGAACTGACGTGGTGGAGAGAAAGACGGGGGAGTACGCGGCGTAGGCTTCATTGTTCAAGCTGAAGTCGTCGTTCATGACTCTGCTGGTGTTATAACTGCCGCCCGTGTTGTCGAACGTGGAGGATGAGGAGAACGGGAAGTACCGCCCGTACCACACATTCTGCCAGTGCAGCGCCGGAGATATGATCCAGAGAAATAGAACGCTGCCAGCCAGCACATTGACGATGGCCCAAGATGGGACCACCAACGGGGAGGACAGGTATCCCGAGATTTGGTTCCAGTCCAGCGTAAGCGGCAGCAGGTCCATGCCGGTGGTTGCTCCGAAGACTTGGTTGAGGGTGACATTGTTTGGCCGGATCCAGGTGATCCACGCAAAGGTGGTCAGCGAGGTGAACAAGAAGCTGGGCACGACCTGCCAGCTGCCCGCGATGACGACGGCGAGCCAGAAGAACCTCATGCGGTTGACCTTCCAGCCGTCTGCGACCTGGTTCTGGAACTGGGGATCGTGGAAGGCGTAAATCATGGAACAGGTGGGGAGGGCGCCCGGCCAGATGCATACAGATGGGCGCACGAGGAAGCGATGGAAGATGCCGACGAACCCGAAGCTGAGGGCTTGGGTGGTGAGCAGGAATATCAAACGGAATCCGGGGGAGATGGGA